GAGTCTCTCACACCTGGTGCCAGGAATCGAAGTGAACTTTGAGGACCAGGTCTTCTAAACAGCAAGGATCACGACGGCCAATCAGAAGAGGCCGCAGGGTATCAGCAGCACGGGGAGCGGGCCTCCGGGGTTTTCGCCCTGTCCTCCTGGGAGCTAACCTTTACATGACCTTTGCACTTGCCTCTGCTCCTGCTTCCTCAGCCTCTCCTGCCTCTGAAGCCATCGCCCCCACTCAGCTCCTCCGAGCACCTCTGCTAAATTTTTACCTGGGATGCTGCCCGAGCACAGAAGTCAGTTACAATAATAAGCACGACAATAGAAACTAAATTTTCAAGAGCTCCAATGTAACTGGAGCCTGAAGGCAACCTGGTCAACCATTACATACTTAGTACTTCAGTATTCCACGGTATAGTACAGTACTTTTTTTTTTGAGACAGGGTCTTGCCTTGTAGTCCAGGCTGGCCCCAAACTTTCAGCGATCTTCCTGCCTCAGCCTCCTGAGTGCTGTGATTACAGGTGTGCACCACTATGCCCCAGTTAGTAGTTAGCTATTCTAAAAGACACCTCAAGTGAAGGAGAGTTAGAGATACTTCTTCCTAGTCTAGAGCAGTCTTGCAAGTTCACACAGAACAAATCTCTCTCTCTCTGTCTCTTATACACACACATACACACTTGTACACTTACAGTCTCAGACTTTCACACATACAACTTTCTTACACAGGCACATACTCAGAGCTCTCACACACACGCACACTCACACCTTCACTTTTAGCACACATTTACACACCATTTCATATGCACCCTTACACACCCATGCACACAGGCCTCACACACCCAAGTAACTCTCATTCACACAAGGCACACATATGCACACACTGTCACACGGTCTTTCACTGCCCTGACACACACTGCCCTCATGGTTGGCTAGGTTCAAACTGTCACCTTCTTGGTTATGTGGATTATCTTGGTTATCTTCCCCTCGGTGGGGCTAGTTTTGACTGCATTGAAGGTTTTATGCTCATTTTCTTTTCTTTTTTTCTTTTTTTTTGGTACCAGAGATTGAACTCAAGTCCTTGCGCTTGCACAGCAGGAGGTGAAACCACTGAGCTAAATCCCCAGGCTTATGCTCATTTTCTTAATGATCAGAATAACAGAAATGTAGCAAACCTCGGACATTCTGCTGCATGTTACAAACACCCTTTCCCTTGGGCGGCCAGCCAGGAGCGCCTGGTGTTTGGTTTGCACGTGGTGAGCATCTGCTCTTTGCTGGACTGGGGAGAAACAATGATGGGCAGAGACTCCCGAAGATAGAAGTGTTGCTCACAAAAAAATTAAATCAACCCTGGTACCAAAAAAAAAAAAAAAAATCAGTTTTAACTTTAGCAAACAATGCTAAAGTTTTTTTAAACAGTGAAACATGACCTCTCAAGAAAACACATTCTACACTTGCAGTATGGCTCTGGGCAATCGTAGTAAAGCTCCTGACCAGACAGAAAGATCCACCTGCAGATGGCCGGAGACGCACGTCTGGGCTGTGTTTGCCCTGGTCCGCGGCACCGTCCTTTAACTTCCAGGTGTTACGTGTAAGCCAGGTAAGGGGCAGCACTGGCTGGGTTACAGCTTCTAGGGGTCGCAGCTGAGCCAGTCCGTTTACCTGTCCTCCAGGTGCCAGCACTTACCTTGTATTTCCTTTTAACCCAACACTTTCAGCTCCCCAGGGAGGCGGGAACCGCAGGACCACTTACTCTTTTGAGGTGACTCACTCTTTTCTCTTGGAAGGAATTCCCACACCCAGCGAGGCTCTCTAGCTGCTCCCTGCAAGTTCGGGAAGTATTCCAGGCTCTGCAGTCCTGCGGTGCGGGCATCCTGGAGACCAAAGCCGGGGTCACTCTGAAGATTAGCTGTGGTCTGTGGGCCGCAGCTCCACACAACATCAGGCTCCTTGGGTCGGCAGAAGGTGGCAGAAGATCCTGCTTGAAAAGTGCCCGGGAGGCTGCAATCTAGAAGACTTTCTAGTCACTCAGAAACATCCGAGTCCTCTGTGAACCTCGACGATTTGGAGACGACTCTTGCTAACTTTTCAGAGACAGACGACTACGTTTGTGCCTGTTTGGCCTCTGACTTGTGCAAGAGGGATTCAGTTGCTTATTTATGTTGAGTTCGGGTGAAGCGAGCTGTGAGCCTGGTAGACACCAGCACAGGGGAAGACTTCCTGAGGGAGGTGGGATTCGAGTGTGGCCTTCAAGAACCAAGGGCATCGCCAGAGGGGAGGGGAGGGGAGGGGGCTGGGCTCGGGAGGGTACAGGGATGCGGAGGAGTTTGGGTGCATCCTGTCCCTGATACGATGCCCTTGGAGATGTGGACGCTGCAGAAAAGTGGAAATCTGAGCGAGTGTCTTGGCCTTTCACCTCACAAAGTCCTCACCAAAACTTGCACTTTTTTGGTTCCTTCGAATTTTTATCCGTGATGAGGTTATGTCAGAACTTCCTCATGATCGCAGAACACGGCAGGAGTCAGATATGTTTCCACTGCGTGCCCCACAGGCTCCCGTTTCAGGAGACCTGGTCCGCACGCGGCCATGTTGGCCTTGGGAGGGGCAGGAGCTTTAAGAGGTGTGGCTCCCTGGGAGGACCTCAGGTCACTGGAGGGCTGCCTTGCAAAGGGACAAAGTTAGTGCTGGGACCCTCGGCTCTGCGGGGGGAGCGGGTGGCTCCTAGAGGGAGCCCTCCCCCGGCCCCCTTCCGTGTGGAGATCCTGTCAGCCCACAAGCACTCTCCAGTCCGAAGCCACCACGAGCTGCTCCCTGTCCCCATCCCGCAGGGGCTGCTCCCCAGAGCTGAGCACAGCCTGTGCCCATGGCTGGGACTTTCGGCCTCTGAAACTGTGAGCTCCAGAAGCACTGTGCTGTTACAGCGGACGGGTACTATGCCCCTTGGCACAGAAGGACAGAGGGTGCTAACAGACAACACCTTGTCTGTGACAAGGTGGGAGCCAGCCAGGCCCTGGCACTCCGAAGTGCGTCTCAGCAGTCACCTTCTCATCTGGGCTAGGGCTTTATGTGAGGCCTCGGGTCACCGGAGGGGACATGGTTTCCATGTGGCCATGTGGAAGTCTCCATGAGGCCTGGTAGGAGGGGCACAGGGCCCCCAACATGGCCCGGCAGACTAGGGCTGCCCCTGGGTAAAGCAGGGCGCAAGGCATGACCATAGTTGCACTTAATGGGGCTGGGAGTAGGGGAAGGGACAATTAGGCAGGGAGGAAGAAATCAACCAAGGGTCAGGCGTCAATGCAGAGACTGAAGTCCCACTTGCTGGCCACCGAGGTGCCAGGAAGGCCCGGAAGGCAGGGCCAGGGCGCCTGCCACTGTGGAGCAGAGTGCTGCTGGATCTGATCCGGCTGGGACACAGAAGCCTCTGTGCTCTGGGTTCTGAGTCAAGGATGGATGCTGATAAGTCGGGCCCCTAACCTGTCCGTGGCTACTTGTTGGACAACTTAGTGCAGATAGCGGCCCTCCACCAGGCCACACTGGCCCGAGAAGGCGGCTGTTGCACTGGGAACTGCATCTGCCATCTGCCGTCGTCTCCTGTCCTGGGGACCACACTCCCCCCACGCCCCAGAGCTGGAGGCTGAACCCAGGACCTCCTGTGCACCAGGCCAGGGCTCTACCCCAGCTGTACCCCAGCCCCTGGGGCTGATTGGCTTTCACTGTGGGGTCAGGGCTCTCTCTGGAGGATTGCGTGTAGGGTGCTACTGTGGCTGGGTGCTGGCTGGCTTCGACCTGGCTTCCCTAGGAGCCAAGCCATAGAGTGGTGGTGGGGTGTCCAGGAGCGTGGAGGTCCCCCCGCGTGGGAAGCCGGGAGAGAGGCTGAGCTGAGGGTGGTAAATGGAGTTGGTTAAAACTGCTTCAAACAACTGAACCCGAAATGCCCTTGAATGACCCCGATTCTGAGCGAAGGCCGCATTTCTGTAGCGCTGACAGTTGAAATGACCTGGGGGAGGAGGTGGCCCAGGTCACATGGAGCAGACAGGAGCCCGGGCAGCCTCTGCCTGGGACGCCACAGTGCCTTAGCTCCCGAGCCCAGGCACTGTGGAGCGGTGGAGCTCACTCGACCCAGAGACGAGAGTCCTGAACAGGCTCCGGTGCTGCAGGACACTCCATGTTCTGCCCTCCGGGCTGGGTACATGGAGAAAGGGCGCTTCCTCTCGGGGTGCTGTCTCCCTAGGCAGACCCAAGAGGCCGCTCTGCAGGGGGAGACAGGGCTTCATACGGAACCTGGGCAGAGAGGGGAGCTGAGTGGCTGGGAGAGGCCCAGGTCAAGGGGCTCTTTGGGCTCCGAGGCCCCAGTGGGGTCTGGGTCCCCCTAGGTGCAGGGCACAGCTGGCTCCTGCGGCCCCCTCCCCAGCATCCGATCCTTCTATCAGAGACAGCTGACTAGGCAGGCAGGCAGGCAGGTCCAGGCCCTAGAGGGGGTCAGTGCAGAAGAGAACACATTACAACTGTGGCTGGAGGCACGTGTGTCAAGGGCCAGGCCTCCAGATAAAGACGGAATGACCTGACCAGGCCTACGTGCCTCCCTAGGGGATAAGCAATAAAATGCAGATTGAACATAACTGGTATCACCTGGTCCAACGAAGCCTACATAGACATCAGTCACCCAGGTGGGTGACCAGGACCTCTGGACTCATCCCCTCCCCAAAATGCCTTTGTTCTCTCCGTGGGCCCTTGCTACTGACTGCTTCCCCGTTGGATCAGTATTGCCTGAGCGGCTACACAAGTGGCCTCGGTGGCAGCTCACTTTCAGGTCCCCTCCTGTCTCTCAGGAGCCCGCTCTCTCTCAATAAATCTTTCCTACTCGGTCTCCGTTCCTCAGAATCCACTCTTCTGCGTGGGGGTATCTGGCACCCCGCAGGTTGGGCGCTGTATTCTCCCTCTGTCTGATCCTAGTCCCAGGACCCTGGGCGCACAGGTCCCGGGCAGAGGCCCGCAAGGCGCCGGGTGGAGCCCGCGCCACGTGACCACGGGGCCCAGAAATAGCGCGGTTCCGCCCGCCCCCGGCCTACTGGGGCCAGACTGGGACGCGGCGCCGGGGATGCTGCGGAGCCCGGCCGGGCAGGATGGCGATCCGCGAGCTCAAAGTGTGCCTGCTCGGGGTGAGTGCGCCCAGGCCGCGGGGAGGGGCTGCAGGCCCGCCGCCCGGCTGTCCCCGCGGTGACTTCCTTCCGGCGCGGTGTGGGGTCCCGGCGCGCGCTCTCCTGGAGCACTTGGGTTATTCACCTACCCAGAGCCGGCCGGCGAGCGCGGGCGGCCGGAGGGTGCGGCGCAGAGGGCGCGGGCGGGGACCCCCCACCGCACCCCGGCCCAGCGACCCTCCGAGCGCCGGAGACAAAGAAGGCACCGCCCGGCCCGGGGCCGGCGCCCGCCACGGGCAGGTCCCTTTCCGGGGAGAGGCCCGTGCCCCAGCCGCTTCTTCCGAAGAGCGGCCTGGCTCGCCGCGTGTCCGGCGGATCCCCGTTCTTCAGAAGCCGTTTCCTAAATACAGCAGCAGCCAGAGGGAGACCCGCGCGCGCGGGCTCCGGGAAGGGCTGCCGGCTGTGGCGGTGGCCTTGTGGGTGTGCGGAGAGGAGCCGCCTGCAGTCTCCTCCGCCTGGCCCTGACGGTCAGGGCGGTGTGGACTTCACGCCGCCCGCCTGGCTCCCGCAGAGCTGTCTTGGGTCTGCCCTGCAGTGTCCGCGGCCAGAGCGTTGCCCGCTGAGTACGTGGGCGTGTGGCCCAGGGCTCAGGGTCCGGCAGGGCCCCCTTTCCTTCTGTCCCCAGCACACCCTCCGGGCCAGCTGCCGCCGGCCTTGTTCTGGGGACTGGTGTGGGACTGGGTTTCATGTTGGTCTGGTGTTGTCCAGACCTCAGTTCCAGGAATCTCACGCTTCCGGAGGAGCTGTCGCCTCGGAAAGGCCTCCAAAGCCTCCCAAGGAATGCTGTGGCCTGAGGAATCCAGGGCCAGCTTTGGCCGGTTGACAGTCGGCCTTGGGGAGAGATGAAGTAGGAAGTATTGGTCCTTGTCTTTGACACTCTCTCCCTTCTCATCTGCCCAGAGCTCTGCCCCATCACGAAACTCTTGCATTTTCCATTCAGTGTTTCTGGGAGCATCTCCACTTCCTCCTGCAGGGACAGTGGCCCGGCGGCCCGAGCCCAGTGCAGACACAGGCACGGACTCTTTCCCAAGAGCTGGTTGTGCAGCTTTGGGTGAGGAACACAGTCGTCCCCTCTGTAAAATGGACACAACCCTTCCTCGTGAAGCACAGAACTATGCCAGATGATCTAAGATACGTGGTGGCATTTCCTGCTCACCTATGACTCTGGGCTGATAATTAGCAAACCTGGCAGATGCAGAAGCTGGAGGAGATTACTTTTTTTTCTCTTGGTCTCCATCTGTGAGACACACTCGGGAAGGGGCTTCCTGCAGCCAGGGCCTCGCCTGGGTTGTTCCTTCTTCGTACTGGCTCTGTTGCTAGGAATTTCAGCTCGGACAGGAGGAACTGTGCCTGAGAGAGGGAAGGGATTTCAGGGCAGTCAAGGCTTTGAAACGTGGACCACACACACCATGGCCTGCCACAGATGTGCTGGGGGTGGCCGTGTTTCAGTCTCACTGAGGTCAGCGGAGACAGAGGACCTTAACCCCCCCCCCCCGCCCTGCCACACACACCAGGCACCGCTTGGGATGTCCACAGGTGTGTACGACAGGCAGGGTTTCCAGCTGCTCATCCAAACAGGATGCTGCCTGGGTGAAGTGGCATTTGTCAGGGGCCAGAGACCGGCGGGTCAGTGGAATCTGGGCCGAGAGTGCTTTCAGGGGCTCCTGTGCTCTGGCTGAGGGAACTAACCCTGCCTGCTCCGGGCCTGGTGCTCAGAGTCCTGTTTTTTGGCCATGCTGCACCTCCCTGTGGTCTCAGCAAGATCCAGGCCCTGGGAGCCACACCCCCAAATGTCTAGAAGAGGGGGCGAAATCCGACGCCCCGAGCTGTGTTTTGTGCCTGGTCACTTGCTCAGCGATTGCTTGGACATGTGGGACAGTGAAGCTTTCATCCCAGCCCCCACGGTGACTCTGTGGGTCTCAGGCCCCTCCTGGGGAGGAGGTGCTGCCCCTTGACTCACGTCCTTGAAGAGACAGTGCCGAGTGCAGGTCGTCTTTACCTGAGTTGCGCCTCGCAGAGTCCTGCAAGTCCTGTCCCCTTGGCCTGTCTGGGCTTCCTTCTTCTGGCATTAATGGTGGCCCTGGAACATTGTCTTCTGGCTTTCAAAGCTCGGGGAAAACTAAGGACTTGGGAACATAGGGCTTTTTTTCTGTTACCTGCTGTAAATTCTTGGCTTGTGTTTTTTTCGCCTGTGGACTTTCTCATGTGAAACAAGCCCACCTGGGGACAGTCCCAGGAGTCTTTGTGAGTGCCCTGCCTTGCTGGGGTGGGTGCATTTGCCCAGGGAAGCAATCTGGGTACCCGGGGCTCCATGAGTCTCGGCCTTTCTCATAAAGTGCCAGTCATCTGGCTCCGGAATCTGAACTAGTATTATGAAACATGTAGCTTAAAAACAACATTCATAAGAAACATCAAAGTTTGTTTAAAACAGAAAACAGTATTGAGACTGCAGCTGTTCAACCCCAAAAGTGGAATGCTTCCCGGTATGTAGTTTAACACACATTGCCACGTGGCCAAAGGAGGAGAGGGAGAAAGAAAGGAGGAGGAGGAGCAGGAGGAGGAGGAGGG